TTTTTTTTTTACTTTTTTTGCCGGGGCCAGGGGTGCCGACCCCCGGCCCTCGGGACCCCCGCCGGGGCCCCGGGGCCGAGGCTCGACAACCCTGTTTCACATCTTATGAAGTAGGAGTCCTCGGACAGTGAAATAAATTACAGAATTGAAAAGTGTCCCGTTTATTTACTCGCCAACTTCAACAAGGTTCCCAGGAACCTTGAAACTTTGGAAATACTCCATGGCTTGAACGATACGGTCTCCCATCTCCTCAGTGGTGATGATGGTTTTGTTGCTTGCCGATGACATGTCCTTGGTTCGAACGCCATCTTCTAGAGAAGCTTTGATGGCTTGCTGAAGCAAGTCGGCCAGTACAGGCAGACCGAACTGATACCGTAGCATCATGGAAACGGAGCGGATGAGCCCAAATGGGTTCACTATGCCTGTGAATATGCTGCCAAGCTCGCCTGGGAACCCAAACAATGCTGGTGTCCGTGGTTCACCAAATTATGTTGATGGTGAAAACTGCACTCCGCCAGTGATACCCCTCGCAACTTTTACAAGCACGTCTCCGATCAAATTTGTTGCAACCACTGTGTCATACCCTGTGGGGTTCTGTTCCCAGCAGTCCGTCTATTCCGTAGTTGCTCTTGTACCCCCTCTGTCGTCCTTCTTTTTCCTTCACTCTCCCCCGTACCAAGAAACTTCTACCAGGCTGTTTGCGGGGGGGGGGAAGAAGTCCGAGAATTCGCTACTTGACCGCATCGGGATTGAATCATCCAGCTTGGTTGTAGCGGACCTCTGGTTGGCCTGTGAGACCAGCGCCTTGGCCTGTTCTCACAGGCCTGTGTTCTATTCGGGGGCAGTCCAGTTCACTCCAGGCCGGTACCTCTGTCGGTACCAGCCAATCCAGTCCAGTCTAGTCAGTCCGCTGGGGTATACTCCAGAAGTTGTCTGTTTCGTCCTCATTCTTCACTTGCACATTTTGGAGTACGTGCGTTGGAGTCTTGCGTGGGGAGCTGCGCTGTCCCATCTCGTTCCCCCTTCTTCCTCCATCTCCATCTTTGCCACTAGCGGAGCACCACACCTGGTGGGTAAGCTATATTGGTATCGGAGCAGGCATTTCTCCCTGCTCCCTTCCCCCACCCACGCCCTCCATCACTTGCCACGTGGCTTGAGCAAAACGCTCGCCACTTCTATTCCCGTAATGACACCGGTGCACGTTTCGCTTCATAACTTTTGCATCCGGTGTCCATATTTTAATATCTTTGGCGTTTTGAAAAGCTCTCGACGAGACGCTTCCAACGAGTCATAGATTGCGAAATTTGGTGTGGTAGTTTTGGAGTTATGTTTGTTTAAAGATCGCAATTGTTTTTTTTTCAAGCTCCGAAATCGCCCGCGCTCGTTTTTCAACGAGCGCTATTACTATAGGCCGCGGCTGATGCCGTGCCATATCTCGTTGGAAGCGCCTTTCGACAAGATTTCCAACGAGTCCTCCTTTGCTCAATTCCACCAGCGGGTCAAAAGTTATGAGCAAAAGAGTCTTTGCCCTTCCCTTGCCCCTCTCCTCCCTTTCCTCGTGGCCATCTCCAAAAGTGCCACGTGGCACTGTGTGAAGACCCCCCTGTTTTAGGGGCTGCTCTACAGTGGTGAGGGTCTGCTCACACAGCAGACCCTGGATCTGCAGAACTGCTGCTCCAGGGGGCTGATCAAGATCTCAGCCTCCTCTCTCCTCCAGCTGGTTGCTGCAGTGAAGGCCAAGACCCTCCTGGTCTTGGTGTACCTTGTGCCATTGGAGACACCAAGGGCCAGGTATCTTTTTTCTCTCTCCCCCTTCCTCTACTAACCCACTCTCCATATCTCTCTCTCTCTCTCCTCTTACTCATACCCCCCACCCCACCTTTTCTCCCACAAACCACTACTTTACCCTCTTTTCTTCATTTCTTTTATTTTCTCTCTTCCTTTTCTCCTTCCTTCTTGATCTCTCTCCACCTTTCTCCATCCCTCCTCTCCCCCAACTACCATCACACCATCCCCCCTACCTCCCACTTCATTTTTTTTTCTCTCCCACCTATTTCCTTCTTTGCTCCTTCACTTTTTAATACCCCTTCCCCCCTACTTCGAAATTTTTTTGTTTCTCTCGTTTTCTATCTCCTTTTTGATTTATATTTTCTCTTTTTCCAAAAAAATTCGAATTATCTTCTTCCCCACCTTTTTTTATTTTCTGATTTTTTTTATTTATTCTGAAAATTTTACTTTCTTGGCGGCAACCCTAAATCTGATTAGGTGTTAGCCTTTCTAACTTTCGGCACACATTTTGACCCCGTGGGGGTAACGAAGTGCTGCCGAAATTTTCTGATTTTCTCTTACTTAGTCTTTTCGGCACACTTCGACCCCATGGGGGTAACGAAATGCTGCCAAAATTTTTGAAAACTTAGATACTTCATTCCTCCCACCTCCTCATCCACTTATTTACTTCTTTATTTATTTATTATTTCTTTATTTTTTTTTCTGATTTTTTTTTTTTTTTTTTTTGCGGCACCTTGACACCTAGTGTGCTCACCTTGGTCTCTCCTTTCCCCTTGGCACATTCTTGACCCCGTGGGGAGTAGGGAAATGCTGCCGAAAATTTCAAAAATAAAAATAAAAATAAATAAATAAATAAATATTGTTTTCCCTTCACATCTTTTTACTTATTTCTTTAATTATTTTTATTATTTATTTATTTCCTTCTTTATTTTTATTTTCTCTCGACATCTCGCTGTTTATTTATGTTTCTCCCACCTTCCCCCCTTAATGCTTGCTATTTTACTTCTTTGATTACGTCACCGGTACCCTACCCTAACCACTTAAACTTCGGTTAGGGTTTTCTTAGGGTTTTAGGGTTCTTCAAAACCCCCCTACTTCCCCGTCCTCTTCGGGCACCCTGGACCCGAACCACCCCTCCCCCTTCGACGACGCCCGTGCTAGCCTTGCTAGCGCCGTTTGCCGCTTTCTACCGCGGACTTACCCCTACGTTCTCCGCTCACGCGGACCTCTTCTGGCCCCCTCCAGTCCGGTCCGTCATCTCCCCATGGCCGACGGTGTGTCATACGCCGCCGACACGGCGATGACCACGACATCGGGCTCCACACCCGTGTCGGCGGACCAGGGCCATCAGCCCCAGCGGGATCTGTACACCTTCCTCACCTCCCTCCGTGCGCCAATCCAGGTGCAACTCACGACCCTTGCCCCCATCCAGCCGCAACTCGCGACCCTCGGGCCCTTACAGGCGCAGGTGGCGACCCTTGCCGCCGACGTGCAGCAACTCCAGGATGCTGCGTATCCTCCATCTCCTGGCTCCCAGTCCGGGTCCCCCGTCCTCCGACAGGGTGGCCACGGCGGAGCTTCCTCCTCCGCCGCCCCCGACCCGGCCATCTTGGTGACTGTCCACGACCCTAGCACGACGGCCGCCACGAGCCAGGCCTTCCCTCAGTCCACGGGCGCACCCGCCCAGATTCCGGTCACGATGGCCACGGGACCACAACCCGCTACCATGGTCTCAGCTTTTCCGGGTGCCCCACTTCTCCCCCTTCTTCGCATGACCGCAGCGCCATCTGACTCGCCCCCTTGTGGGATGCCTCGCGCCGCTCGTGCGTCACCCCCTGCCACACCTCGCTCGATCTACGTTCGAGGTCTCGAGGACGAGATCGCCCAGCAAAGGACCGACCTCGCCCTCTCTCGCCCTCAGCCACCCCCACCCTCACAGGTGGCCGCGCCTTCCGGCGCACCCTCTTCTTCCTCTATTCTTCCTTCCATGCAGGCTCGCTTCCCTCGCCCTGCACCATACGCATCCCCATCCTACCTCCTCCCCATCCCCTCGGTTGCTGCGACCTCTTCTACCGCAGCTATTGTGCAGCCTCCCGTTGTTTCCCCCGCCGCTCCACCATGCGGCCCGGGCGTACAGTCAGTTGCGCCCCCTCCTCCAAGACCTGCGCCGACGTATTCAGCCGTAGCGCAGTCCCCTGCTCCTCGATCCCCTCGCCGCCAAAACGGTGGCGCACCACTCATCCGCTTGTCGGACATTGCCTTGTATGACGGTACAGGCATACGCGTGTCTAGGTGGCTGCAGTCTGCCACCCGCACGCTCCAACTCATGGGCGCCACACCCGACACGTGGGTGGGTCACCTTTCCACGCGCCTGCGTGGCGGTCCTTCTGAGGCCTGCGAGGATTTCTACGCGCGGGTCGGACTCCGACCTTCATAGATTTCCAGGCGTTCCTCGAGGATCGCTTCGGAGCCCGACACGATGTGACTCACGCCTTCGAGCGTGTCGTCACTACACGCTGGTCCGACTCTGGTGGCGCTACCAGCCTGGATCGCCACATCCAGGTCTTTCAGGACGCCCACCTCATTTGTGACATAACGTTCCTCCCCGAGGCGGACCTTATCGATCAGTTCTTGGCCAGCCTTCCACTAGAGTACCACTCCGAGCTATGGCGGTACGAGTTCACATCGGCCCCGCAGGCTTATGAGGCCGCCAAGGACCATCAGCGGATGCGGGCCCGTCTTCACCCCGCCTCCGCCTCCCAGCCATAGCGTACCGGTTACACCTCATCCTCCTCTCATGGCACTTCCCAGCGCCGTTCCCCCTTCCGCGGTCGCCCCCGCCGTTCCGCGCAGCAGGGTCGCCCCTTCTCGCGCCGCTTCAACGCGCTCGAGTATGGTGAGCAGGACGCTGGTGCCCCGCTGTCGCCAGAGGGTGACCAGAGCGACGACCTCGATCTCGGCGACGTCGTCCACCACCACCTAGAGGACTCTACTCTCCCTATGGCTGAGCGCCTCCAGCTCATCCTCTCCACCCTTTTCCGGGCATGCAGCCGCCCTGGTCACGCTGGCGCGTCACCCCCCGAGGTCCCTCAGCAGGACCTCCCTCAGGGCTTTGTCCCTCCTCGCGATGTCCTTTCCGCTGAGGAGCGCGTGGCTATTTTGGGACGACGTGGGTGTTTGTGTTGCCGCCTGGACGGTCATACCTCCTTGCGGTGCCCTTACACTACCGCCCTCGACCGCCACTACGCTGACCTTTCCCGTCAGCGTCGTGCTCAGTCCCCCCCCGGCGCCTCGCATCCCCTCGGCGCCTCCTAGCCACGGTGCAATGTACACCTGCGCCCTCCTCAGTAGTCGGCTTCCCGACATCCCCGTCGCGGTTTGCCCCTATCGCTACTGGAGTCGAGGTCTCGCAGGACCCGACAGAGTGTACTCAGCCCTCTGTCGCCGTACCGTCTGCGCCCCCGCAGACCACCGTCTCCCCTCCTTCCCCGCCACGACTACCGACGCGACGAGCCATTTACTCTGCTCGTTACAACTAGCAGCTTGTGACTCGCGAGGACGTTGTGTCCTCTCTTCTGGACTTGAGCATGCTCCAGGCTCGTCAGGAGCGACTCACCCCCCATGTCGCTGCACTGCGTCGCCTTCTCACCATCCTCTCTGACCCTGATCGCACCCTCCCGATCATCCCAGTACGACTCGGGACCTCCACGAGGGTGTACTCAGCGTTGTGGGATTCCCGTTCTCAGGGCGACTTCATTCACCCACGCGTGGTGAAAGAAGCCCGCTTACCCACGACAAGGTCTCCGACTCCCATCTCCGTTACCTTAGGGGATGACAAGACCCAGCGCTTCTTCGATCAGACGGTCACTGACCTCCCTTTCTTCCTCACTCTCGAGCCGACTGATCGTTCCCCGGCGTCTCGTCGCCACCGCTCCTCTGCACATTTCGATGTGATGGAAACGGGGTACGACTTCATTCTCGGCACTCCGTGGTCTCGTCGGTTCCGCAGCACCGAGGCCGATTGGGCGACCAACACTCTCGTTCTCAAAACGAAGTGTGGACAGACGTATCGCGTACCTTTCATAGGTACCACCGCGACACCACGCCCCGATCCTCCTCCCCCGGAGCCTTTCGTGCCCACACCATCTCCTTCTATCACTGTCACCTCGCCTCGACAGTTCGCTCACTTCATCCGACAGGACGACGTCACCTTCTTTATGGTGAACGTGACGGATCTCTTACACTATGACCCCCCCTGTCCTGACGCCGAGCTCATCCCTCTGGAGCCAGACCCTCCTTCCATCTCCATGGCTCCCATCTCTAGTTTCATCTCTCCGCCGTCCGTCGAGTCCACCCCGCCGCCGCGCGCTGACGCCGACGCTGAGGAACTCACACGATATACGGCCGACTTGGAGTCCGCAGTTTGTGACCTCATTCGAGAGTACCACGACGTTTTTCCATCGTCGTTCTCGTATGCCGGCATGATGCGTGACGTCGAGCACTCCATCCAGCTTGTGCCTGACTATCGTGTCCACCACCAGGCACCCTATAGACGCTCGATCCCCGAGGCCACCGAACTCAAGCGTCACCTTGAGGAGCTCCTGAGACAGGGTTTCATTAAGCCCAGCAACTCCCCGTGGGGTGCACCCGTCCTCTTTGCTCGCAAAGCGGATGAAACTCTTCGTCTCTGCATCGACTACCGCCGTCTCAGCCGCTTCACGGTTAAGAACAACTACCCCATGCCTCGTTCCGATGAGCTGTTCGACCGCCTAGTAGGCTACCGCTTCTTTACGAAGATTGATCTTCGTAGCGGTTACCATCAGATCTGCGTCGCTGCAGCCGACCAGCCGAAGACAACGTTCCGATCGCGCTTCGGCCACTACGAGTTTACAGTGATGCCATTCGGCCTCACCAACGCACCCGCCACCTTCCAGAGGGCGATGAACGACATCTTCAGGGACATCCTGGAGCAGTACGTTCTCGTCTACCTCGATGACATCCTGGTCTACAGTCGTACCCTTGAGGAGCACCTCAGACACCTCCGCGACGTCCTTGACCGCTTGCGCAGACATGGCTTCTACGCTAAGCTGAGCAAGTGCCGCTTTGCCTAGCACAAAGTGGATTTCTTAAGACACTACGTGTCTGACCAGGGTCTCCACATGGATGACGCGAAGATCACTGCTATTGCGGAGTGGCCCGGCCCCACATCCGCTAAGCAGCTTCGCAACTTCCTAGGCCTGACCAGCTAATATAGTAACTTCATCCGGGGATACGCTAGGTATTCCTACGTCCTTACCTCCACCCTCCTCCGGAAGAACCCACCCTGGGTTTGGACACCCCTCCACGAGGACGCCTTCCGTGCCCTCAAGAAGGCGGTGACATGCGTACTGGTTCTTCACCTACCCGATTTTGACCGCCCTTTTATCCTTACCACCGATGCGTCAGACTTTGCTATAGGAGTTGTGCTTTCTCAGGTCTTCCCCTCCTCTCCTGATTCCTCTCATCCTCGTATCCCTCGCTTCCCACTACCTACCCCTCCCACTGCCTCCCGACTGACGCCTACTCGTGCCGCTACTGACGAGCCTTCTATTGACTATTCTCCTACCATCGTCGAGGACGGCACTGTCGAGTCTCGCTCAGGTGTTTGTCCAATAACCTTCTACTCCCGTCAGCTCCTGCCTGTCGAGATAAACTACACCGCTGATGAACGTGAGGTTCTCGCAGTAGTTTATGCCGCTCGGCACTGGCGTCACTACCTGCACAGGGCACCATTCACGGTGCGTACGGACAACTCTGTTGTTCAGGCTTTTCTCACAAAACCGAAACTCACTCCTCGATAGGCTCGCTGGTGGCGCGACCTATCCGAGTTTAGTTTCACCAGTGAGCACATCAAGGGTGAGACTAATCGGGTCGCAGATGCCCTATCCCGGCGCCCTGACCACGACCAGGAGCAGATCCAGCTCTCTTCCATCTCGGTCACCACCGTCCACCACTCAGTGATCGACGAGTTTCGCACTCAGTACCGCCACTGCCCCGACTATCGCGACATCCACGCGGCTCTTCGGAGTGGCAAGACCGTCCCGAACTACTCTCTTGGGGACAATGGTCTTGTGTACTGACACGGTTCACAGGGCACCAAAGAGCCCCGTATTTGCGTTCCCTCCACTGGACAGCTACGTGTCCGAGCAGTAGCAGAGTTCCATGACCAGGCAGCCGCCGGTCGTATGGGCTTCCATAAGACGTTGGCTCATGTGAGCCGCCTGTACGTCTAGCCGAAGCGCAAGGACTTTGTGAAGGACCACGTCGCAAAGTGTCCCACCTATCAGGAGGTGAGTAGTGCAAACCACTTGCCTTATGGTTTGCTTCAGCCTCTTCCTATCCTCGAGGGTCGTTGGCAGTCCATCTCGATGGACTTTATCGGTCCCCTTCGTCCTCCGACCCCTCGCGGTCATGATGCTATTCTGGTCGTCATCGACCGCTTCACGAAGCGTGCACACTTTGTTCCGTGCCGCTATGCCATCAGTGCATGTGAGGTCGCCGACATCGTGTTTGACCGAGTTGTGCATGACTACGGCTTACCTCTGAGCATCATATCTGACCGTGACCCGCGCTTTACCAGCCGATTTTGGCGACGGCTCCACGAGGTTTATGGCACTCGGCTCCGCTTCTCCTCGTCTTACCATCCACAGATTGATGGTCAGACAGAGATCATGAACAGGACTCTCGGAGATATCCTCCGAAAGATTGTTCGTGACGACCAGCAGTGGGATCTCCATCTTGCCCATGCGGAGATAGCCTACAACCACGCTATCTCGCCAGCCACGGGCATGTCGCCTTACTATTGCAACCTCGGCTATCACCCTCGTGTTCCCGCGGACTTCCTTCGACCGTCACAGATGCACCCCGACATGAGTTGTCCCGTGCTGGATGATTGGGTTGCACACATGACGTCGATCATGAAGACCGCACATGAGCACATAGCCGCTTCCCAGACTCGCATGACAGCACGTGCGAACCGATCGAGGATGGACCATCCATTCAAAGTCGGTGATGCCATGCTTATCGACGCCCGCCACTTACAGCTCGAAGCGAACACGCTTCGCAAGTTTCGGCGTCGCTTCTTTGGCCCATGCCGCATCCTCTAGGCCGTCGGTTCTGATACGACTTCGAGCCCGGTCAACTTTCGTGTGAAGCTGCCCGACTACCTACGCCAGGCTCGTGTGCACGATGTCTACCATGTCTCGTTACTGCGTCCTTACCGCAGACCGTCTAAGCGTTTTGCTGGACGACCATACGAGTGCCCTCCACCGATCATGGTGGACGGTCACGAGGAGTTCCTCATTTCATACATCATTGATCGTCGAGTCACCGACGACAACCCTCCCCACGTCGAGTATCTCGTACGTTGGAAGGGTTATCCTGATGAGGAGGCCACATGGGAGCCCCTCGAGCACTTGCAGCATGCTCGCATGTTGGTGCGTGCTTATGACCGTGCTCGTCGTGCTGGGTTCACTGCTCCTCCTCAACCCACTGACCCTCCTCCTTCCCCCCCGGCTGAGGAGACCGCTGAAGTCGAGCCTGCTCAATCTGAGGCAGACCTTCAGCAGCAGCCGGATGCTTCTGAGCGTCCACAGCGCACTCGTCGTCGTCCTGCTCGATACGACGATTGACTCTGACTTACCTTCCCATGTCCTTGACTTCTCAGTACTCCATCCACTCCAGTTTTGCTACTTCCGCTCGTCGACGTTGCGGTTCTTCCTCGACGACATTCCGGACTTCTCATCGTGGACGTCATCGACAGCTTCATGGACTTCGTCACGATCAGCTCTGCCTACTTCAGACGTCGCCACTCTCTTANTTCATGGACTTCGTCACGATCAGCTCTGCCTACTTCAGACGTCGCCACTCTCTTACCACTTTACCCTGTACACTACCCTGCTTGTGTCGCATGATGGTCTCCCTTTAGCCGGGTTCCTCTGAGTTGGGCTCTCCCTTGGTATACGCATAGGCATCGGGACCGTAGCGTTGCCCTGACTTCCCATCTTACGGATCTAGCTCCGACTTCCCTCACTTAGGAGTCATTTGCATGATTCCCTTACCCATCACCTTTCTACCCTTTGCCGGCCCTCACGCCCTAGTTAGGCAGCTCCGCATGCTTAATCTAGGTGCGCCCAGTATACCAGGCTCCCTTGTTCCCTTGCATGGTTGACCCTCCATAGGGGTCACCCCTTAGTCGAGCATTACCCGCCCTGATGGTCTATCTGTTAGGGTCATTGGTTTTGTTCGCTCCCAGTTCCCTACCCTCATTGAGCCTGATGACATGTGTCTCCATGTTATCTATGTGTGGATGCCCTTAGGAGTTTTCGACCCCTAGGCTGCATTCGCCACCCTCAGAGACCATCCCACCCTTTGGTTTGCGACACACTTCTCCTGTGACATATGAGTGACTTATTGTTGCTTTGTTGCTCTCAGACTGAGTCTACTGCCTCTGACATTTCTAGGATTTAGTTGTTCTGCTTTTGCTGTTCCTAGGACTTGTACACTGGTCAGCTGTTCCCAGACTGAGGCTACTGCCTCCAACATTCTAGGATCTAGTTGTCACTACTTTCTGCTTTCCTAGCACATGTATGCTAGTTAGTTGCTTTTGCTTCCTATGACGTATATGCTAGTTAGTTGTTTTTGCTTTCACTTAGGCTGTTAGCTGTGACATTGCTGTTTTGTGACATTTTCTATGCTAAGTTGCATCGCATGGACTCAGCATGGAGCTTGCTCCGCATCCTAGACTACTCAGGTTTTTTTTTTTCTTTGGTAGAGTTCCGCTTCTTGGCGGAAGCGTGTTTGCATCTAGGCGATCCATCACAGGCCGAGGATCGTGTAGCGGAGCTCTGGTTGGCCTGTGAGACCAGCCCCTTGGCCTGTTCTCACAGGCCTGTGTTCTATTCGGGGGCAGTCCAGTCCAGTCCAGGCCGGTACCTCTGTCGGTACCAGCCAGCCCAGTCCAGTCCAGTCAGTCCGCTGGGGTATACCCCGGAAGTTGTCCGTTTCGTCCTCATTCTTCACTTGTACATTTTGGAGTACGTGCGTTGGAGTCTTGTGTGGGGAGCTGCGTTGTGCCATCTCGCTCCCCCTTCTTCCTCCATCTCCATCTCTACCACTAGCGGAGCACCACACCTGGTGGGTTCGCTACATTGGTCCAGTTGTTGAAGAGGAGCTTGTGGTCTCTATTGATCGTCTTCTTTTTCCCATTTCCCCCTTGCCCCCCATTTCCCCTCGTCTATTCCACTTTTCCTATCCTCCCTCCAGTTCGCCCCCCGAGCCAGCTTTTGCAGAAATCTTGTATCCTCTATTATATTTCGTTCTTAGTACGAATGTGTTTGATCTGTGTTTTGATTTCCTCCCATCTTGCTCTTATATTCATGTGAATTTGTTGTTGTATGCTTTTCGTAAATTCTGGCCCTTCCAATCTCACTTCTTCCATTTCATACGTGCAGCGGCGTCTCGAGAGTGCCCACAGTACTGCCCTTCGTCCTTGTTGAAAGATGTTGAGGGTGAAGTCGTCCCGCTGTTCAGATGGCCATCTTTCAAACAAAAGGGTCTTCCAGTCCCAAGGCCAGGGTATCCCTGTTCCTAACTGATCCCATACTCTGTCCCACCAACGCCAGAGCCAGACCGCACCGGGGCATTGCAGAAAGATGTGTTCTATTGTTTCAGGTATCTTTCTGGATGGGAATGCATTGGAGCATAGTCTGCACCAGGGGAGCGCAAGTCCTCTCTGTTCAAGAGTGGTCCTGTCGATCAACCAGTTATTGGTTGGCAGGCAGCGGTGTTCCATCTGCCACTGCAGGGAGGCTAGATTCGCCGGTATTTTTTTGGTTAGCTGAAACCATTTTACGTCGTTGAACGAATCTTTGTCGATGTTCAAATGTTTCATCCATCTTGCTTCCACCTGGTCCGTAAGATTGATTTTGGGACGAAGCAGTCTGTATGTTGCTTTGACTGTTAAGTTATACAACGTTTTGGTGTTGGATTTGCCTCTGCCGATTGTGTTTGTCCATTCCCATTCGAAGGGGTAACCTTTACAGAAACCAATTTTTGTAAATAAGTATTTTTCAGCCAAATAATCAACACAATTTTATTGAGGTCGTTCGACCATAAGGAAAAAATATAAACAGAAGGGGGGTGCTTCGTCTTTTGAGCTACCTCCCCCCCCTTTCTTTTATGATTTCTTAAAAATATTTAATTAAAAAAAAAAAAAAAAAAAAAAAAAAAAA